ACCCAGAATTGCACTTGTACTGATGAGAGAAGGGGATATTGTTGTGAACGTTTTCGAGGGAAAGATTAAAGACTATTTCTCAACAAGCAACTGCGTGCTCTTAAAATAAAGGAAACTACTGACCGGAGTACAATACATATTAGATTAAGTACGAGCAGTCTGATGAATAGATTGTAATATGGACAGGGACAGGTAAAGGGATGCATAGAAGTCACAGCCTCTTTCAGCACCACGGGAGAAATGTCATGAAAACAGCTCATCAAAGCCAAATTATTAACAGTGACAGTTCTGCCCCTGTCAGGGGGCTACTTTTTGTTTAAGAATATTAAACATTTAAAACACTCGAAAACACTTATCAAGGGAAGCTTCATTACAGGGACTAGAAGGGAGGTTAACAAGTAAGTCAATAATATTGAAAAGCACCCTAGAGTTAGGATGGATCTTCAAAATGAGGTCAGATTAATAAGCCGCTTTTGCTTCCTTAACTGCTTCCTGATATTTCAGCATTAAGTCCTTTATAATAGTGTGGGACACTTGCAGTTCATCAGCCCCCCATTAACATTTGGCTTTTCTACATTCATTCATCAAAGCCTGGGTATCATCCATCGAAGACTGGCGGTATTTATCTCGATATGTTGCAGACTAATGTTATGCTGTCAATACTAGTTATACTGCAGCTCAGCCTCATTGTAAATTGCTTAAGAGTCACGTCATTCATTTCGCAGATATAGGCCAGGCACGTGTTTGAGCTCGTGGTGCCTATAGACACATATTGACCATCTCACAGAATCACACTAACATACAATGAGAGGACAAAAAATCATTTGCAACGCCAGAGAATTGTGCTTAAATGTGTTTTCAATGTAAGGTGGTATGAAATACGAATGAGCTGTAAGTAAAATTGTGGAAAGTAGGGAATGGTGCATTGGTCCAGTTTGACCAATAGTTATGAGATGCATGAAATAGCTTTGGCTGCTGTTGATTTGTTTAGTTGAAGAATGAGGCCAACCAAATCTGTAACTCTTGTCAACGAGCAGTTCATTATGAATTGGATACGCTTCTGTTGGGGCTTGAACAAGGCCACTAAAAACACTTAAGTAAAAGAAATGATGAATTACGAAGCATCTCCTAGCCAGTCCTGGGTGTGTGTGTGGAGTACTACACAGCTGGACACACATGAGCACACACTCTTTCTGGCAGCCATCCGCACCTTCACACACTTCACTGATGTTCCGCAATAAATATTTACGGATGCTTCCTGGCAGCCAGATAGTGTCCTGGAAGCCAGATGTAATTTACACATCTTTTTGATGCCGCCTCATTTTGCATTACATTGAAGTAGCGAGGGAGGGAAATAAGTGGTATAGTCAGTTTAACTTTGTGTGTGGTTGTTGTGTGCAGCAGACACCGAAACTTTTTGGCATGTAAACCACAAGGGTCAAAATTTAATAAGCAGAGGGCTCTGAGCCAAAGAATAATCATGTTGCACACTGATCATGCGCAATTATGACAGACCTCTTGCTAAAATTTGATTAGAATCAGGATATTTATCTTCTCCTCCAAATATCTTGTTGACTCAATCAATAGAATATGTTTACATCCACGTAATTGACTCCCGCGAGGATATTTGTTTCTCTCGCTTTCTTGTGCAGGAAGTTTGGCTCACGCCGACTACTTCTGCTCGCTATGCGCATGTTGACTTGTTGTATAGCGCCGGCACGGTCGCATTAGGTCGCGCCACCGAGCCACCCTTAGGTCTGCTGCAGATGAACTGTCCAAGGCGACATATGGAGCCCCAAACAAACCTGGGGCAGATCAAGAGACATCCAAGAGTTCATTAATAATCTATATTATCCATATCTCTCTCCCTCTATCCCTGCACCTGTTATCCTCCTCTCCCCCAAATCCAACTTCCTCTCAGATTAATAGGCAAGGTGGCCATTAGTATCCAACTAAGGCTTTGGTACCGGTGGGGGATGCAGTTAATTTGGATAATATCACTGCCACATGTCGTCAACAACAGACTAACAGGAGGCAGGATTCGGAGAGTGGGCTGCTCTGCTCACTGCCTGCTGCCAGCTGTGAGGTCTGGATGAACCTTGAACAAAGAGTTGTCTCTCACTCTGCCTCTCTTTCCCTCTTAATGTTCTCTCTACAGCATCTGTGTTACCTGGCACACATGCACATGCCATAAATAATACCTGCACCAAAAATACGCTGGCCCAAAATGAAAAGGCTTTAATGAAGCTTAAGGGCAAGGGATGTCACCGAAGGGCACGCGCTGATAGATCGGGTCATAGCTTTAATTGATGTTTATTGCAGATTGCAGGTGCTTCCAAAATTAACTTAAAAGGTGATTGAGCACAGAACAGGTCACTGGTTCAGCTGTTGAATTAGTATAAGGCTGCAGAGCACAGGTGGCAAAACTTCAAATGGCAAAGGCAGGGGCAGGCAGACAACACCCAGCAAATTGCAGACATTGTCATGTTTGGTGTCACAGCGTGGCTGACAGGACCTGTGGAGCTCGCTGGTGTTGGCAGCGACCAGACTGCATGTGTGTGACGCTATAGTTCTGGATTAATGAGAGATAAGGCCGAGCCAGAGAACACCGTCGTTGCAACACACGATTCATTACATGCCACATGGAACTATACTGCAGAACCTCTTGCAGCCTTGTAGTTGACATACTACATGGGGTGTTTTTTTTTTTTTGCTTTTGCGCTGCTTACGTAGCGCGGTGGAAGCTGTTTATGGACAAAATTTAATGTACACTCAAGTGAAAATACTACTATGAACGACGGCGTTCTGGTGTGTCTTTGGTTTGATGCAGTGTGCTCAGCAGAGGCAGCCATATGTGGTATAAAAAAAAAAAAAAAAAGCAAGGCCAGACCAAGACAGCATCATCCACTGCTAATGAGAAACAGTCCTCTCATGAGGCGAGCAGAGACGCAGCAAGGTTCAGAGAGTTCAATACGAGGCCCATGAGGGGGGGGTTCATCCAATTACTAAACAAACTTGTTATGGTGTATTCAATTAATTTTTTACAGATTCTCAATTGATTATTTTGGTATTTTAAGTCCGCAGAAACCTGAGACAAGTGTGGAAATTCCATTTGTCATTTAAAAGTAAGAAGGTTCTTAGTAATTCAGTGGCTGATCATTAGAATGCTCCTTGAAATGACAGCTTTCCCTTCATTGAGTGTGTCGTTATATTGTATTATTGTAAGCCTCTGTTGAGAATGGAAGATGAGTGTCTGTTTACCTGTTGGTAGACACTTAACACCAGTGTCTTTGTATCACAGTAATGCCGAGATAAAAGCGTAATGCCATTTCACTGGTGTAGTTGAGTTCTAATCCCTCAATTACCGTTGTGTATTTTCCCATCTACACATTTCGCGGCCTATACAAAATCCAATATGGGAGATTTTCACAAGTCAAGTGTGTTGTTCAAGAAATTAGATTAGTTTTTGAACCTGTGACAAATTCCTTAGTTGTACCTGTCAAAAGTGAAGGCTCCCTGTTGGCCCTTATCAAATTCGGCGAATTCATTTTCTCTCCAGGTATAGGAGTCATGCTGGTGGAGGTTATTATTCTGTTTGTTTGTCAGCTTGTGATTTTCTGCAGCCAGTGTGAGGAGTAGCTGCTTTGCATCCAGCGCTTGTTGTTTTGTCGCCACCTGTTCCTTCATTACCTGGCCGCATACTACTCTTTCTTTATGTGGATAGAAACTCTTGATCCGTGTGAGAGATCACAACGAAATCTGTTTTTCAGATTGGGCCTCCAATCCTGTTCAGAGGCGAGGATAAAGAATTTTTTTTAAACTTTTTTTTTTTTTTTTTTCGAGGATATTTTGGTTTTCATGCGATGAAAGTCAAAAAATGCTTGGCTCTGACATGAGTGGCAGCGCTGACAACACCTGCAGAGGCTGTTGTAGTGCTTTAGTGCTGCTGCCAAGACCATTCAGTGTACACATTGTAGAGAGGGTCTCCTCCCATGCTGTCGTCTGCAGCAGAGCGCTCTGCCGGGAGAAGCGAGACCAGGCCAGTCTCGCCTCATCTCGAGTCACGGTGCAGTGAGTACAGGCAGCCCGAGGCTTTCACAGTCCCGATGCCCACAATGCATTCTTCATGAGGTATTAAATGAATATAGGAATACACAGATACACAAAGCAGAAAATGAATGTAATCTAAATGCCAGGCCCCTGCGCTGCGGGCAGACTTGAGCAACAACGCTGGAGGAAGATGTTTGCTCAGTGCCAGCCTCATTAAATCCAACAGCCCCGTCCCTTCAACTGGCCCACAAAGTTGAGTAAGAAGGGAAAAAGGTCAGGAGGTGGAATGAAATGAAATTAGAAAAGGGAAAAACTGTGCCGTTAACGCTGCCATGTCGGAGTATTGATTTAACTAATTGAAATGGCATCGAGGGAGAAACACCAGATGGGTCTCCTCTGGCCTGAGGTGGGGTGCTGGCTGGCTCTGATAGGATCCCATCTGAGACGCTACTGTCCCTGGGGTCCGTGCTGATGCCTTCCTTCATTCCAGCGTCTTTCTCACAGTTATCTACAGCCGGCACATTCTCTCGGTCGTGTTTATAGAATGTTTATAAGACACTTCTAACAGAAGCGAATAACTTGCAAAAAACTTCTCAGCAAAAACTTGTTTGTGTCTTGTTTAGCACATTTATCCTTTTTTTTTGATGTATATATACAGAAAGTTACAGATTCAGATTGGTGAAAAAGTGGCGCCTAGGGGAGGATGAGGCCTAAATAAATAGCGACTGACTTTAGGGAACTGTCCAGAACCGATAATCAACGTTGCATGTAGGCAGGACAAATATGTATGCATTATGCAATGTTTGTTTCAGCAGCCGTGACTCACCAAAGCACAAAGCACGAGACCACCCTGGCAAACTGCCCTCGCAATGCTACTATCACTTAGCTGCTCCTGTTTAAAATTTCATGAAGCGCTTACAAAAATAGGACACACTTTTTTTTGTATGAATTACTGCGAAATAACTCGAAGTAAGGCCGAACTACAGTAAGGCTGGGGCTGTGTTTGTTCACTAGCTGAACACACAATATGCAATTGCAACATTTAGCTTCACGGAGCACACGTTTGTTTGTTTTTATGATTTTCTGTTTGGATAGCTCTGCTCTCCTAACGTGCCTTCTGTAAGTGGCAACCACAGATTAAAATTTGGTCCTGTAGAGCAGCTTAGCCTAGCTTTGTCGACTCCAATTTCTTACGAAGAGAATTACATGTAATCATATACAAGAAACAGGTGTAGGCAGCATCACTCTCACTGATCCGCATCATCTTCCTCTGTCAACGTGTCCCCTGCAGTTCCTCTCACATTTCTGATTTCCACACCCCAAGAAAAATATGGAAATCTAAATCAAAGCCGGAATTTGTACTGACCCTGTCAGGATGAGACATTTTGTGAAAGATGAATCCAAGTTGTGATTATGGAGTCCTTTTCTCCCTGTGTCTTTGCTTTTATGATCTTACTAATCATATCCTGACTGCCCCCTGGCTGTCTCTGTCCTTCTGTCCTGGTGGTGCTCCGTGCTCTTTCCCAGCATGCACTGCCTGTAATTAAATAGGAGCCTGGTCCTCTTGACAGTGTCTGTAGCTGCTTTCTCTGCCTGGCAGCCTCCTCATCCTCCCTCTCTCTCCATCCCTGTATCTCCCCCTCTGTCTCTCACTCACACACAGACACTCCCCCTCCCTCTCTCCTTGCCTGGATGTCACATGAGGAACTGACTCTGGTCTCTGTCTCTCAAATGATTTAATTGGATGCAAACTCAGGAGCACGGACATCAATACGGAACTATATCTGCCATAAGGAAGAGCCATTAGTCAATACTTCGCCCTCCACATGCCGAAGGCTTTTGTCAGACCTAATTACCCAGTACTGTATTCAGTGGAGCTTCACCAGTGGGGGGACTGGGACTCCTGTGGGATCTGGTTAGGATCACAGTTCACTCGCAGTGTATACAGTGGAGTTGGAAAGTTCACAAAAGCAAATATCACTCACAATTCTCTTCCATTTAACGCTGACAGCTAAATGACTGCAGTCACGAGAGGTGCATATTTAATTCCTCTGGCTTCCTTGGTTTCGAGGTATTCGTTCTTCGAGGCTGGGTGTATTGTACGCTGGACATCAGATGACATAAACAAATTACTCTTTTACCACGGTTCTCCTTTGCAGGGACTACAGTGAACTCACACTTTAAGTAAAAGAAGGTGGTGGCACCGATACAGATCAGCCTCACACGCTTTTTTTGTTGTTTTTTAATTACATAGCCTTTACCTTGTTGTAGGTCATTTCTCATGGGAAACACACACACACACACACACACACACACACACTGCAAGAAAGCTATTTTGAACCACATAATATAGCATGCAAATGCAATGCATGCACTTGGCAACCTTGTTTCTAACTGGCTTGTATTTAGGTTATGGTCAGATTGATAGTATTCAATATGTTCACACATTTGCACACTTCCAGGTAACGCGTGTTAACTAGAGCAGCAACTACTTGTAAGAAATTCACACGAGCTTCCCAAAGTGCTGAAGTCACAGCACTGTTGTCTCTTGGTTTTTCCAAGTGTATAGTTATTTGTACGGTTTAATGATGTACACACAACTTTGGCAAACAGACACCATTTCACTTGCTACTTCGTTGACCAGCTGAAGTGACAAGTACAACCTGCAAAACACTCCTGACTGATAGTTACCTTGGTAGCTGCCAAACGTTTGCATTATTGGTTATCCAACTGTGTTAAAACTGACATTGTCCACTCAGTAAGACCCACATTTAAAATAAAAACAGAAAGCCTGGACCTACTTGCCTGCAAATCCAAGTTTAAACATGTAAGTTAGGGTGTGTATTTTGCTAACCTTGTGAAAATATGTGTCCCTTAGGGTGCCTCGTCCAGCCTGGTGGTCAAATTTGCAGACACTGATAAGGAGAGAACCCTGCGCAGGATGCACCAGATGGCGGGGCAGCTCGGCATCTTCAGTCCCATGACCATCCAGTTTGGGGCCTATGGCGCCTACTCTCATGCTGTAAGTCTCAGCCCGGCGGGGGAGGAGACGGTGAGCTTTAAAAAAAGAAAACAAAAACTGTTGTGATTTGAGGCTTGAACTCACTCTCTCTCCCACTAGGCATGTGACACTCCCGGCGAACAGCTCCTTAAGTGATTCACACCATTAAACGGCTGTTAAGAATCCACAATTACAGAGGCTTAACAAAAAAATTCTGCACTGCTTTTTGTGTATTGTGTCTTTTTATCCCTTCATTTGTCCAGGGAAGCTGCTTATCATGTATGCTCAGCGCTACGCCGTTTCACTTGCGCACAGTTGCAAGCATCCACTTCATGTTCACTTTCCATTTCACATCTCCTGACTTGGTCTGTGAATTTAAACAGCCAACCCAAGCTTGCCTCTTTAACATTTCATCTACTCACACATATTTCTTTTTACTCAAACAGAGGCGCACGTCATTACCAAGAACCCACACCCGTTCACCCCCTACCCCTTCCTCTGTCAGCCCACCCCACCTCCACTTCATATTCACACATGAAAGTCACAGCCTGAATTAGGAGTCTGTGAGATTTTACACTCACACAGTAGCTAACAAGTCACCCTGACAGGTGAGAATCGCCCACTCACGCACAATCTCTGCTCTAACTCTGCCACTGTAGCCCCCCTTTTTTTTCTCCCTCTCCTACATATACATATACAGTGCACAAAGATATACACAGACTCCAGCTTCCTGAACTCATCTCACCACATAGCCTTTATCTTGTGTCACTATAATGAGCACAAGGCCAGAGTGGTCGTACTGGAGCTGGGAAGCGAAGCTGCAGGGCAACACGGACCACTCTGCTCAAGAACAAGGCATGGGCCAAGCAAACAGAGATGTGAGAGTAAACATGCTCTGATCCTGCGGCTATTTCACCCTCCTTTCCTTTTCTGTCCTTCCCTCCATCCCTCCCGCCTTTCGCCTCTCTCCCCACTGCTCTTTAATCCTACAGCAGATGATGCAACAGCAAGCAGCCCTGATGGCAGCAACACAAGGGTCCTACCTGAACCCTATGGCAGCCATCGCTGCCGCGCAAATGCAGCAAATGGCAGCTTTCAATGTCAACGGCCTGGTGGCTACTCCCATGACACCGTCCTCAGGTATACATTCACACACCCACACACACACACACACACACACACACACACACACACACACACACACGCACCATTAACTGGCACAGGTGCAAGAGCGGAGGCACGTGCAAACACACACTCGCGCAGGACGTCTTTCTCCATTTCTCATGACTGGCCTGGAACATTTTCATCATTAGCAAGAATTATAGAAGCAGTAGTAATATATTCATTCAAGGCCTTTCTGCTTCTGCCCTTGTTACATTTTTTAAGATGTAGACTCCGATTTCTAGGTTGAAGCAGACACTGTCAGTGCTGAATTAAAGGAAGCGGAGCCTTGTACTGAGTGAGGCATGATGGGAGAAGATGTACAGCATTCCTTTACACTCATTGGCAGCCACATTATAGTCTCTCTCTCTCTCTCTCTCTCTCCCCCTCTCTCTCCCTCTTCTCTCACATTATCTCTTCTTCGTTCTCCCTCTGTCTGTCGCTCTCTCACTCTGTGTCTCTGTGACAGTGTGTGTTTTCTGGGAACACGGCCAATCCGATGACTTTGGATGCAGAGTCCTTGGCTTATACAATATAAGAGCAAAGATTTGTGTGAGATAATCCTGGACCCCAGTCTGAACTATCTTTTTGGCCCTTGTCATGAGGAGCTTTGATGGCTCGACACTAAGTAGGCAGGCCGCCTGAAGGCAGGGTCATTGCAAATGTATTAAATAAAGTGGCTTGACGCTGTACCTGGCATTTGTAATCCACAAGGCCTACATATTCCAGGTAATGCCTATCAAACATAATCCTACATGACTTAAATGCCCTTCACCTGGATAAGAAAAATAATAAAATTCCATCTGCACAAAAGGGCACTGACAAGGTGACAGACTTGGAATATCACCGCAAGGAAGGAAGGTGCTTAGAAAAAGCAGCACAGCTCCCGACATCCAATACACTGTACATTATGGTACCGTTTCTTGAAAGTGATTTTTTTTTAACCACTGGTTTGTGTACCTTTAAAAGTGTTGTTATGTACCCCAAGTGACAAAAACGAAGCTATAAACAAGGGCACCAAATGAAATATTCAGAAAAACATCATTATTTTCGATTACAGCATCGGATAAGTCCTTTCCTCCCCTGTACCACCTTCAATTTGTGTGTAACCATGACTGATTTTAGTCACTGAACCTTTAGTTCAGCCTGAATAGGTACCAATTTGTGCTAAACTGCCTCCATGGTGGGTCAAAAGGTACACATTTGTGTCCATTACGTACAGCACTGCAGGTGAGGAAAATGTACATTTCAGTACAAAAGTACGCTTCTCTTGTACCTCGAGTTTAGAGCGTGGAGCATGTGAAGCCTGTGCCCTGCAGTTTCCATAATGACTCCGTGTCTATTTGTAGGCACCAGCACACCCCCGGGCATCTCTGCCACAGCCGTGCCCAGCATAGCCACCCCTATTGGGGTCAACGGATTCAGTGCCCTTCCGCCTCAAAGCAACGGGCAGCCCACATCTGAGCCCATCTACACCAATGGTATTCATCCTTACCCAGGTGAGACGATCACGTTTACACACAGCAAACACGAGATATATTTGTAGCATCCACTGTCATGAGTCTGTTGCTCTGACCCCGCTTTTGACCCTGGCTGCTCGCACTGACGGCGATCTATGAATGTTTGATTATTCTGGAGCTGTACTCCATCTGAATAAGAACATCACCTAATTGCCAAAATGCAAGTTCAACATGTCAGCGGTGACAAATTGAATTATATCGCGTAATACTGTTTAAAATGTTGACAAGAGTCTTTTTAACTTCACACTCCCATGACATCTTCTTCTGATTTGAACTGAAGCGTTTAAGGCTTGAGGGTCAATCAGCACCGTCTTTTGGCAGATTTTTGAGAAGCCAGCCCCAGTATCATGATGAATCCATCAGTTCATCCATCAGTCAATTATGGTTAATTTGATGTGTCTCAGCCCGTCCTCAGCTTCTTAATGTTGTCTGGGACTGATTCCTGAAGAATTGACAGACACTCGCTCCCCATCTCTGCATTATGCAAAGGCAGCTGCAATTGTAATGAACTACAAAGTGGTTTGTTTGGCATGTTGTTAATATTTGATGCAAACATCTGGGGCGAACAGGCATTTTGAAGAACTGAAAGATATGACAACCCAAATTTCTCCCCACTCCCTGTGTGATCTTACCCCCCGATGGTTCTCTACAGCTAAGCCAATTTCTGCCTCGCTCTTTAACATTCTCCCTATCTCTTTCTCTGTCTCCGTGTCTGTCTTGACCACTGTTCGTCCTTTTCTTTTTGTGTCTCTTTTGCTTTCTTCTCTGTCGCCTTCCGTTCTCTGTCTCTCTTTTTTTTTTTGTCTCTCTCTGCAGCACAGAGTCCAACGGTGACCGACCCTCTCCAACAGGCTTATGCTGGCGTCCAACACTACGCAGGTGATCCGTCTCTCCTACCTCCTCTACCTCTCTCACTTCCTCCATCTGTCCCTTCGCCTCTCCCCCTCTCCCTTTCGGTTTGTCACATCAGTAGACACTCTGACAGGTAGAGATAGCCAGATGACCAGCCAATTTCCTCCTGGATTAGGCTACTTTACATTAGGATTGCAAAAGGATTTTCAGTTGACTTGATTATACACCCTCACCAAAAAAAAAAAAAAAAAAAACCTTAATTCCAAAAGCACACCGAGAGCTGAGGATTTGAACCTGCCATAGCCTCCTACATGAGAGATGACACAGACCTCTCATAACCACTGCTTTGTGCCTGACATCAGCTCTCATTAACATGGTGTTAGTCTCCCTCTCTTTCTTTGTGTGTCTGCTTAGTTGAACTGCACTCCACTCCCCTTTTGCCATTCTCTTTGTGTAGTGATCCACCAGCCAAATGAGCCCAGGCTCCCCATCATAATGCAATTTATTTATGCAATGTCTAGAGGACGCAAATGAACAATGGAATAATGCTTTGAGTTTTGTTGTGTCAAATATGAAAATGGAGATGTGAAAAATTCCACTCTGGTTCTCCCTTTGCAACAGCAGCCTACCCTGCCGCCTATGCGCCAATCAGCCAAGCGTTCCCCCAGCAACCAACCATCATTCCCCAGCAACAGAGGGAAGGTAAGAGCGAGCAAGCGCGCCCACCCAAGATAAAAGGTGATAATTGCCATGTTCCATTCTAATGTAGCTGCGCTGCTTTGAATTAGCGAGGGAGGGAAAAAGCTGGCTGGGGAAAATGTGAGAAAAAGGCTCCCCATTTAAAGAGAAGAACATTAGCAGTGAGATGGAAAGTTACTCTGTCATTATTCAAAAACTGCACTAATTCAAACTCGCAGCGTTGGACTGCTTAATCAGTCCATTACAATGTGTTTAAGTGGTTATAAATATTCATCAGATTAATTAGCTGCATGCATAATCATTTATTACCATTCCTAGTGTAGTGTTCGTTCTTATGCCACAGCATCAGATGTAATAAAGCATAGGATATACCGTGATGGTAAATCACTCTTTTTGACGCCATTCGTCAGTCTCAATTATTCATCTATATGATTGTATGAGACAGCATAGAGTGGCATGAATATTCAATATATGGACTTGAAATTGAGTGTTTCCAACATTGCCTGGAGGAAAAAGTTAGTTTATGTTAGAATTTTGGCAGCAGTGCGGGTGCAAGCAGTGGTCACCGTGTAGAACTGTACGACTGAAGACAGATGCACACGTACTTATTCACACATGTCAGCAGCTTATTCACTTTGCGTGGTGGCATAATTTCATAGCACAGAGAAAAAAAAACACACAGTTGTTAAAGACATCCCGTCTCTCATTGATACATTGGAGCATTTTAATCATTAGCCAGAATTATAGAAGTCACGGCAATGCAAACACAGCCACACACATAGGCACACACACACACACACACACACACACACACACAGAGCTATTCTTGGTTGAGCCAGTGGCCTGTCTGAGTTCTGGCCTCCTCTGGGTTTTGGCTGCTGTCCCAGCCTGTCTCAGTCCACTGCCACAGTCTGCAGCCCTGCCATTTAACAAGAGACATCTAAACCTGAAAACACAGGCACAGTCAAGCCTCGGCTTCAACCTCCCACTGAGAGCTAACAACTTCAGCTATACATTTTATCAGTCTGCGTCCGTTTGTGTGTGTGTGTGTGTGTCAACATGGAAAATCCTGCCAAATCCCAAACTATAATTTTAACCACACAAATCATCACAGTAGCCTTTGAGGAAAAAAAAAAAAAGTGTCCTTTTTTATTTCAGCAGAACATCTTATGCAGCACGGTGTTACATTTTAATAATTGAATAGCGATGCACACTGACACAGCAAATATTTTGTCATGCCAAAAAGTAATGCAGCGCTGTCGCATTACCCACAAGGATGAAGCGAACGCCTCATATTTTAAACAGTGCAGCAAAAAAAAAATCACCGGCTGTAATCTTGAAACAATAGAAGGTTTTCCTATCGCCCTACTGAAGTTTCAACTTCATCAAATACGTCTTTGTTGGCAATAACGAGATCTTCCTCGAGAGCACCGGGATAAATGTGTCACTACGACTATAATTCTATCAGCAGAATATGTTCAGGGTGGTGCAACATGAAAAGAGCTTGTTGCATGATACAAGTCAATGCATCAGCAGTTGTTTGAGGGATGACAAATGCTGAAAACTGGAAGATAAGATGTGTCAGGTGCCATACTTTTCATTTAAAATTTGAATTCGAGCTTGTGATTATTTTGGGAGTCATAACCTTGGGAGAAACCTGAAGACGACGCAGAAGCCGGCGGAGGGGAGAAGCCGACCTAAGACTGAACAAAGCGCACATAAAGAGTGTTTTTCTTTTTAAGCTTTGACAGTCGGGAAGGAGCATAAACCCTAAGACATTAGAGAATCCCAGCGAACTACTGATCAGTAACAGATCTATGCATTTAAACAGCTTGCACTGTTTACATGCATAGTGATTTGGGCTGAAAAAGCCCCCAAAAATAGAGCCAAAATTGCAGAGTTAGAATGAGATTCTAGATGGGAATTAGAGGTGAGTGAAGTTCGTAAAAACAAAGCTAACTCCAGGTAAAGCTGTTTATTTACTGCAATGTCTCCCTTAGGCGACATTATTGTTGTCAGTATCACCAGTGCTGCAACAAATACATATATTTTTTGTATTTTAGTTCCATGCATTATTCATCCGTGCCAAAATTTGATGCTTATATTACCCACAATGCATCTCCAGCTGTCAACAGTTTGTCCAGAAAATCAGGTTGTCTTTATGCGAGTATTGCAACCTCAATAAACTAGCCTCAAACAGTGATAAGGACCAACTTGGAGTCTGAAAGACGCTGCTCTAAGTAACACAAGTTGAGCCAATTTATAAGATTATACATAATTCCCTCTTCAGTCACAAATAAAAGCCTTATACATTTTTTTTTCATATATGCAGCAGTTCTCCACAAAGAGGCCTAAACAGGTTTTTATGTGTGAAAATTATGGATGGTTTTGAATTTTAGAAGTTCTAAGATATGAAAATCTTGGTTTTCAACATGGCAGCCGCATCAGCTTCATGTACTTGAAGCTAATTTTGCACTTTGCACCTTAATGCTTTGCTATAAAGGACAAAATACCAAATATGCAATTTGATCAGAATGCTGTAAATAATGTTTAGTGAAATGTTAGCAACAAAACGACCTTCTCTGTAAAAAAAATTAGTCATAGCGATATTTACTTTTTTGACTGCCTTGAAAACATATAGCAAAGAATAACTAAATATGAGGTATAAGGTTGATTAGAACGTGGCACCGTTTAAGTATTTTCCAATTACCCAAAAAGCAAACTCCTACTTGATTCAAATATGGCCACTCTCCCCGTTCAAAGCAGTCTTCTTGCACAGCGATATACTGCTCACAGCACTTCTTGGAACACTCCATGGAAGCAGCATCGTCACTACTAATGGGTGCACATTTGCAATTTTACCAAGGACTTCAAATTTGAACAAAGAGCAATAATCACGTTGAGGATCATCACTGGTGACAAGAGTGGGGTCTAATGCTGCTATGGTCTATGACTACCCAGAGGCCAAACGGCGGTCTTCAAACGGCGCATCGGTCCAGCAGTGTGATCAAGAGCGTGTGCGTTGGTTTTGTTTTTCGACATTCACAGGCTTTCACGCAGTGAATTTGTCATTCCCCCCAGTCCTAATTGCCAAGATTTTGGCTCCTCCTCTTCCACAAAGTGAACTTAAAGAAGAATAGAAGCAGTTTGCGATGGTGCTTGATGCGCTTACAGAAAAGGGAGCATTCCAAATGTGGAAGCAGCAGTATATCACTGCACGGGAAGACCACTTTGAAGGGGATACAATATGTAAATGAGCTACAGCTTTTGGCTTTTTATAGGCACGGCATCGCAACTTCTTGATTGCACCTCCCACCTGCATGTTGATGTACAAGGAATGGGATTTTATATTCACACTGTCCAGTCAAGCATTAGTCTCCCTTTCACACAGCTGGATGTACAGACCAGCATATATGACATATAGGTGCCCGAAGTGGTCATGTGATCACACACAAAAAAAAACAAGGGGTGTCATGCTTGTAAGGGGAAAGTGAACAAATATGCAGCATGCCACAAAAACAACCTACCAAACGTCTTTATGCAGCAGCGGCAGGCATTTCATTCCCTCAAACAAACCACTTCTTTTCAAAGCAAGAATTCACCATAATGGGCGACACCTAAACAGACAGAACTGAGATTCAGCCCTTTAAAAAAAAAAAAAAAAAATCCTCACTCTGTCAACCTGTGTGTGTGTGTGTGTGTGTGTGTGTGTGTGTCCTCTATCTCACCGAGGCATAGCAGCACTACAGCCAGCCACCACTGCAGCCCTCTTATCAGCCTTCTCACCAGACCCAGTCTCATCTCGTCATGCTATCACCCTGAGCAATGAGACAGGAGAGAAAGCTAGCCAGGCAGCCAGCTGCAAGCTTACTGTCCCTGAGTCCATCACATCTCTCTCTCTCTCTCTCTCTCTCTCTCTCTCTCTTCCTCCCTCTATGTGTCCATGGTTTGCTCTCTTTCTGTCTCTCTCCAGTTCATTCCTGCCTTTATCCAGATTGGCCTGTACAATATGTGGCAGCTGGTTGGATGAGTATGGAGGGATGGAGAGAGATTGGAAGACAGTCCTACTGTCACACAGTAATTGGGGCAAAAACTTGGCTTATGTCTTAATGCGTGCTCTGCCTCCTCTCTCTGTTTCTCTGTGTCTCGGTTTCCCAATATAACCGTCTCAATCTTTTTCTTTCAATCAGCTCCTCTTGTTGTCTCTGTATTTATCTCTGGCTGTTTTCCTCTTTCACTTCTCCTATTTCTGCTGCTCTGCGGCTGTGCATCGCTATTGTCAGCACAGTTTCTGATACAACAGTCGAATGTAAGCGTATAGTATGATTTAGTAAAGTGCCCCATCCCTATCCAGTTATGAAGCAAAACAGCGTCCAAGTGAGGATTCAAATGGAAAAAAAAAAAAGCTCAACAAACCAGTTTGACCTTATAATACTTGAAAAAAATCATATAAAGCTGTGTATATTTCACAAATAACCAGGTTAAGCAACACTCTTTTCTCTTTTTTTTTGCCACAGCTTGGCAACATAATGAGAGTTTGGTATTTATGCATGTGTACAGCATTGCCTTGATTGCTTTATAGTCAGTTTCCACCCATGTTATTGTGCTCAGTCTCCCTCTCACTGGGCATCTCCTGTTTATGTTCCCACACAACCCTCCTGTTGTCTTTCTCTCATCACCAGGGCCAGAAGGTTGCAACCTGTTTATTTATCACCTGCCCCAGGAGTTTGGAGATGCTGAGCTCATGCAAATGTTCCTACCTTTCGGTAACGTCATCTCCGCCAAAGTCTTTGTGGACCGAGCGACCAATCAGAGCAAATGTTTCGGTGAGTTATAAAAAAATAAATAAATAAAAATCACAGGTGAAGACAAGGGGAAGAAAAAAAAAATCCATTAAAATGAACCAAGTCATACAGTGGCTGTGTTTGGTAATCTACTCATGTCTCTTGTTGCTTCCCTGCAATTAGTGTTTGCTTTTGCTTTTATTCCCAGTGTCTGTCCTAATCAAGCTACAAATTAACATTTTAAAAGTGGCGTTACATGCCACTGCACAGGGGGGGCGAGGAGGGAGATCAAGGAGCAGTACTCCCTGGGTCCAAAGCCGAAGATGGTGGGGCTCGGCAGTAATGGGAAAAAGGGGGTTGATGTGAAGAAGGTGGATGCTCTCATCACCGAAAATCACAAACCCACCGTGTCACCGAGCCACCGACCCAAACATCTATCAGCAGTTGTTATTTCCCCCCCTCCTCACGCGCATGTATTCACAACCCTCTCACACCTTCCCTGAGACAATTAGCATCCGTTTCCCCTTTCTCCAGCCTCCTTTACCCAAGAGGGGAGCATTTTCCCAGACTCCCCACAATCCTCCAGCCGGGCAACCCAGCAGCATCCCACCGAGCCCCCCTTTTCCCTCCCTTCTCTCGCCTCCCACACAGCAAACCAGTTCATCAGGGTGGAGGCGGTGCAGGTGGAATCCATGGGCTTAAAGAGATAATAATAGACTGGTGTGGGCCTTGCTGTTGATTCAGTTGGACAGCAGCACCCAGGAGACGATGGGGGGGGAGAAAGAGAGAGAGAGAGAGAAAGAGAGAGAGAGAGACTCCCAGCATTGGCTTTCTTTCAGTTTCTCTTCAACATGACAAGTCTATGAGGCTCTCTCTTCTCCCCCCTCTTCCCTCATCACTGTCTCTCTCTCTCTCTCTGTCCATCTCAGACAGTCTCTCTCCCCCCTCTGTCTCTCTCTCTCTCCCCCCTGTGTGTGTTCTCCTCTAAACATATGCCTCTCGCTATCACTATCCGTCAGTCAACAAGGGGGAAGGACAAAGGGGCGGTGACCTCATCAGTCTCACCGGCTTATTTTCCACAGCTAGTAATTAAGATCTTAGCTGAAAAACAGCAACTTAACCCACGATTCTTTTTGTAAGGTTTTTTTTTTTTTTTCTTTTTCCACTCATTTCTCCCTCCTTTTTATAGCAGGAGCCCCGGGGCTCTTTTGTAGGACATTAACAAATTAGGCAGAAGATGCTGTGCATTAAGGGGAATAGGTTATTAGGCCTCCAAGAACTTGGAGCACTTCGTCTTAAAAAATGTGAGTTTAGCCTCGATGGCGTGGTTCATGGAAAAATGGACGTCTGTATGCATCTACATGAGAAGCACAGGTGTAAAAATAAAATAAAATAAAAAGAAGAGACAGATGTATAAAAGCTAAAAATATACTTACCTTTCCAATTATCCAAAGCACTGTAACAGTGCCTACTAAATAAACAGCATGACCTTATTACTGCTAGAAAACTTCCAAAGCAGTGCGAGTATTCAAATTTGGATAGGTTAATTATTTATATATGTAAAATATAAACACTTCAGTTTGTACAGTATGTCTGCATCAGTCTCACTGTCCTTTCAGCAGCATGTCCTAATTTGAATAATCCACTTCAATTTTCCCCTTTTTTTCTATTAAATAAACTTTACCTTACCTTCATCATCTAAAGCAGCCAACATGCCACAGCACTGTACTGCACTCTTTATGTGTACAGTATGCTAAATATTCAGTTGATATTATTAATAATCTTAATTAAAAAATACTTTGGGCAAGGTTAATTTCAAGAGTCAACAGCAATATCTACGTGCACGTGGCCTCATTTCCCTGCAGCACAGGTGAACCGAACTACATATTTGGATCTTATGAGACGATAATCAGACATCAGTCTTAGAGACGGAGTGTTTACAGAGGAGCTGGAGAATCTGAATATGATAAAAAGGTCACCGGAGGAGCACATTCTTATAAAGGGTGTAACTCTGGAGTAGGATTTGGAGCAAACTCTTCAGGGATGCATCACTGTCAACTCAGACAGATGTCTGTTTAGTTTAGTGCATTTATTTGCAGTGTGACAAAAATGGATGTGAATACGTGTCGCGGTGCGATATTAAACACTTGCACAGGTGAGACGCAGAAAAGCAGGGGATTTAAAAAAAATATTTCACCTCAAAGCAATTATAAAAAATTAAGACGACGAGAAATCACAAGTGATTCAGGTCGTAGGAACTTAATTTAGTTGAGTGGGTAGCGTGTGCAATCGGTAGTGATTGATGATTTTACCAAGCTCAGTGCTAATGAAGCTAAATAAAGAGTCATGGAAATGTATAGAACATCCATAAAGCAAATGTTTTCACCCCACAGACACTGACTGATAAGGAGCTATAATATGGTTATGTTTAGTTTAACCTGGGACTCTATGGATACAACATTAGTCTTAATCCTCTGCATTTAGTCACTCAATATTGACTTTTAAAAGTGATCAAAGCTTACCTTGTTGAGTGGAATTAGCTGGAATTAGCTTGAAAACAAATTTCAAAAGGTCTTGCGAGAATGGAATAAGACACACACCTAAAATAGGAAGTACTCTGCTTTTTAGATACGGTGGGGAAAAAAAAACCATACACAAGGAGATGCAATTTACCTAAAGCGTTTCTGAGAATAGGATATACCTTTCCCTGCTCTTCTTACCTCTACTTCATTTTTTTCAGCTGTTTTGCCTTTGAGTTCCGTCTCACTGTTAAGTCAGGGAAAGTTGCCTCTCCAAGTTTGTTTTAGAAGTGCTCATCTATACGGTTAATATGGAGAGTCAACATTAGTTAACACTTTTAAATTGTTTTTTAGCAGCCACGCTAAAGCCACACCTGTCCAATAAAAGGACAAGCAAATATGTAATCAATACTCGCAAACATAAAAAAATAATCACCACAATAAATAATCAAATAAACATCTGATGTGAAGTCTGCAAGCTTCCAATTACAATATCTGACTACTCAGTTTTGGCAGAGAATCATTCCCTCACCTGCCTCTACTACCAGCCCAGAAACAGCACAGCATCACCGTTTGTAATTATTTTATTAATCTGACTGGGGGCAATGTAATACTTCAGTACTGCAGTAATCTCAGCTGCCCAACCTGGTCCTTGACTTGAATTCTCCTTATTCTCACCCAATAATGTTTATAACTCTGGCTGTGTTTTTATTAAAAATGCATAACATTACAATGCATGCAGCACTCTTGCTGATATGGATGGCTGCAATGAGAGCCATACCTCAAACAGTAGTAGTGTTTGGGGTATTGGGTTGCTCAGCACTGCACACTCAGTGCTGCATCAAAGACGTGACACATCAGCAGCCGGTTAGTGTCGAGAAAATAGCTGAAATTGGAAGCGTGTTCAACTCTCGGATTCTGCTTTTTGGATGGGTATAATGTGCAGGCATTAAAGAGTTTGCCTCTTTCTCTGTACTTTGACCCCCAGAATCCTATCGCTTTTTTTTTTTTTTTTTGGCATGTGGATGTAAATGTGAGGTATGGAGATTCATTAAAGCCAGGGATAGTGTGTGTGTGTGTGCGTTTGTAGGATTGGGAGGGGGATCACTACCAACTGACAGGCCCTTCCCTGCTCAGTTTGTTTAAAGGGTTTGTAAAAGCAGCAGCCTTATCTCACCCGCACTGACAAAAGCCTGCCCTCTCCCCCCAAATTAAATTGGACCCATAGCGGTGTGATCAAATCAGCTGGCAGGCGGAAAATTCCGGCCGTCAATCACAGAGGTGTCTGATAAGAGCAGGCAAGGAGTCCCGGTGTGGAAAGCTGTGGGCTCATTCCGCCTCAACACCCAGGTGATAACTCAGAGCAGCAGGCACCTCCGTCCTACACACCTTGCTCCGAGCATCTCGTCACGACCCCCATGCCCCTTGCTCTTTACTTAGATACACGCTCAGTCGCACACATGCATGGGAGTACACGTTCTGTCACACACACACACACTCAGGTAACATTTACAGACGCTGCTTTGCTCTAAAAATCCACACACGACATGAGACTCCCTTTTTTTTTCCCCCCTCTCTAATCTTTGAACACCTTTTCATGTTTTTTTTTGTTCTCTGCTCAAGTTAAACTCCCGGTTTCTAATAGCTCTTCTTCGTTTGATTTTTAATATCTGTGTTATTAGCCTTTGTGGTATTTTATGTAATCTTTTTAATTCAGAGATTTTCAATTAATCTGCTGAAAAGAGAAAACAAAGAGCTATTGTTGTGTCATTGTTGAGAGCTAAAAAGGGTCTTTTTTTTTTCTTCTCCTCTCTCTCTCTCTTTTTTCTTTCATCTCGCTTGTCTTTTTTTTTTTTTTCCTTATTTCCATCCCTCTCCTTTTCTCTTCTTCCTGTTTCTCTCTCATCTCCCCCCATTCTTCTTCCTTCATATGTTTTATTTTTTCCCCCCCTATGTTGCCATTACTCTCCCTCTCCCGTCCTATGTTCTTGTTTCAGGCTTTGTGAGTTTTGATAACCCGTCCAGCGCTCAAGCCGCTATCCAGGCCATGAACGGCTTTCAGATAGGCATGAAGAGGCTGAAGGTGCAGCTAAAGCGGCCAAAGGATGCCAACCGACCTTACTGACTCGTCTGCTGTCCATACCCAGGTACAGTAACAGCCGTGCCAAACTGAAAACTATCCACTTGGACGACATAGTTATGTATTTAGACAGCGTTGGTAGGGTGATGCAGTGAATTTCTAAGAGTTCACTGCCTCAAATCTTAAAATTCTGATTACTCCTTAAAATTCAGATCTATGTAGGATTTTATCCTCTTTTTAATATTCTTCAGTCTTTTATCAGAGCAATAATAATACAATTCTGTATATTTTAAATATAGAATAAAAGGAAAAAACACACATAGGGCGAGAGATAGAAAGACAAAAATACTGATTCAGAAAGAGGCATAGATATGTATGGATGTAATAACCTGTGATCTTTCATCAGAGCATTTCAGAATAATACTTTATATTTTCAATTGTAAAAAAAAAAAAAAGAAGAAGAAAAAAACATGATATAGATGTATATGGAAATATAATAATAAGTACAAAAAAGAATTTTATGACAATTTATAGCAATTTTATTATTTTAAGTTTCCTTCTTCTGATTTCTCCTTTTAATTTTTGACCATATTTACAACGAACAGCAACAGTGTGAGCTCCTCTTTCCACTGAGGTGTTGGGTAAAGTAGGCAAAGAGGAAAATCTTCTTAACCAACTACCCAATAATCCAGCTAATAGAAATCCCATCAGCCACCGCTGCGTAAAATACTCTGTTGAAATTTACACGTGGTCATCGATATGTCTAATAAAGCCACAAAATTAGCTTAGTTTAGCGTTGAAAGCAGCCAACTAAAGGAAAACCTCGTTCAGTAATTGAGCTCTGACTTCATCCCCATGAGCCCTGTTATGACATCAAACTCGTATCATTTCGAGGAAAGGTGTTTTAAATACTGGAAAAGTCAGAGCACTAGTTTCTAGAACGCACAGGGTCTTTTCACAGAAACAGCCTCTGGAGACTTTTGTCAGGTTGCCCTCTTCCACAGAAATGTTGTTTTTTTTTGTTTGTTTCTTTCTTTCTTCTGCGGTTTGTCTAATCTAATTTGTACCTGCAGGAAGCTCCAGAGGAAATTGATGACATCATCAATACCCAGCTGTGCATAATTACCTGTCTACTGGGTATAGCGTTGTGGAATCGATGCAAGTTGTTTAGCTACACATTTCTAAAACCAGATAGCAATAATTTCTCTCCTAAAATAGCTCAGCATTAGATTTCTGTCAGCTGCTTAGGAAAATCCAAGCTAAACCTTGACTCACAGGGAAAAAAAAAAAAAATCGTTGAGGAGATGCACAATAACACAGAGTAGATTTAGACTTCCAGGGAGCATGACGGGTAAATGTTTAAAGAAAAAGTTTGTGCTTGCAGAAATAAATTAAAAGAAAAAAAAAAAGATGCCTAATGGATAAGCACTTACACTCTGCAGTGGATTATATGATGGCAGAGAACAGCACCAACCCTTCTCAGCGCCATCGGTTAGTTCAAGTGATGCTTCACCAATCTGTTCACAGCTAAAAACAATCAGAGTTCACTTTCACATGTTTGCCAATCTTTGTTTCCCGAATATTAAAATAACAACACGGGCACGTCACATGAGCACAAGTTCTTGTGTTACCCTATAAAGATAGCGTGTCTTCCTGTAGCTTGCAGTTCACACAATTATTTGCATATATTGCTATATTTAGAAACGTGTGAGCGAATAATATATGTCACAGTTTGGCTTCTTCAGTCATCACAGAATCAGCAAAGTGGGTGCTGTTGTAAAGATTTTCCATTCATACATTTATTCTGAAGTCGCTTCTGTTTACATGTGCAACCTTTTTACCAGCATATAAACACATGTATCGCTCATTGTACATGACAGATGATATGGATCACGGCAACTGTTCAAGCAGTGGGACGGTCTTTACCAGCGCACACCTGTTGCTGATCAGTCTGAGGAAGCCACTCGCTCACAGATTTATCTCCAACTAATAAATGAAAATGATTTAGACATGCCTGCAGTGTTGTAATTATTAACTTGCAGCCAAGCAGCGCAGATCTTTGACTATTTATGTTGTTGACGTTATACAATAAATAATACGCATTCATTTCAACGTACGTTTTTATCCTACAATTACTATTCATGATAGAAATTTGCTGTGTGGCAGTTTTTTTGTTTAACCGCGCTGCATTAACACCTGTGAGCAGGATTCAGGTGCACAGCGAAGGAGAGTTTTAACTGTTATGAGGATCTTGCAGCCCGGTTACCTACTGGTGCTGAGAAATCTTCATTAGTCAACATTTCTTTGTTTTGACCCTTAAAAAGTAAGAGCCTTCGTACAAAACTATAAAAAGACGGTTTGCTTAAAGTAGCAGCATCACTCAACGGACTAATTTCAGTGTCACACTCGATTCAAACAATCAACACCCATCTGTTAAAAACAGCGGCCGCCGGTGGGAGAATAATACAGACGCGTGCTCTTTTCACCCAATTGGCTGGACAACTTTTCATTACAATAACACGAGCCCGGATTGTATTCCCCCATAAATAAAAGCATGGTAATACCATTTGTTTGTTTTAGATTTGACACTTTAAAAGCCACAGGATGGCATTAATGGAAGGTGGTATGCAATACAAATGATAGATGCTCCCTTTATCAGTTCCCTGATAGCATTTGAATAGAGCTATGCCCTGCTAATTGAGAAGAGGCTTTCAAAGCAGACACACTGAGAAGAGAAAGGGGGTGGGGTGAATTTGATTTAGCACATCAAAAAGGGACAAATGGAAAGTATCCTGCAACCGCACTGAATGACAGGACAGTCATTGAGATATACTCAGAATGCCTCCAAGACATTTCCCACAATAACATTCTGTCACTTAATCAGGAGGTGTGTGTGTGCGTGTGTGTGTGTGTGTGTGTGTGCGCGCGAGTGTGTGTGTGTGTGCGTCCACGTCTTCCTTCGTCTGCAGTCCATTTCAATCCATGTCTGTGTTTTTCTTCTGTTATTACACCACTTCTGGAGCTGGGTTAAAGAAAACCAACAGAGCAAAACCGAGACCAATTCCATGAAAACATTAAAGAAAAGATCAACTTCTGAAGCCAGTTCTGTATCACAGCTTCACATTTAGAGACTCCCACGAATTGCAGACGATTTTAAATACGTTAAATGTATTTGAAAGAAAACAACTTGTTTGCTTTTCATTAAGCGCGCAGGTATTCATGCAAGGTGGCAGACCGCACAATGACTTCTGGAGCAACAGACTTAAATAAGTTCAAGTGTTTCGTTTTCTAAATTCTTACTAAGCTACTTTATTATGATGAAAAACTTTGATGAAACTTGAATGATTTTTTTTCTTTCCCTCCTTTTTGTTCCTTATAGGTAAAAACTTCAATATGTAGATAGCTTCAGAAGCCACCTTTTTTTTTTCTCTCTCTCCAACACAGACAATTTTGCTTTGAAGTTGAATTAAAAACACGATCAGACAGCATTCTCTTCGGCTGGTCTCAGGAGCCCTGCTACTCTGAAATTGCGTTCTGTGTCTTAAAGATAAACTTAATGCAAAAAAGCTGAAGCACTCACTGTACGGCCACCCTCATAGCAAACAATGCAAGGCAAATCCAATTACTGTAGACAGGACAAGTTTCTGAAATATGCATTTCTGCCATAAGGGTTATCTTTGTGAATATAAAAAACATCAATTCAACCTTTTAACCTGCAAATGTTGTCAGCCTGAGAATATTTCACCACCACACTGACGCACAGAAAAAGCCTTTTTCTGTGCTGTGTTGAAGATTATTTGCTCTGTTATTTCTGTTTTACTTGTCTTTTTTTTTTTTTCAGTTTTATGGTAATAACCATAATAACCTCATTTGATTTGTCAGGCAGAATAAGTGAGAGTGTGGAACAAATATGGAAAGGGTGCTTTGAATTCTGACTTAAGGAAAAAAAGAAAATCCCACTTGTTTTTTTCCTTCTTTTGCACCCCCACCAACCTGGCAACCTGACACGGCCAATCACAGTGTGAGGTGGCCTTTCTCCGCTATAGCCACACACCCCCCCTACACCTGTCATGGGGCCAAGTTCCCACAGCTGTAAGTTGAACCCATGGTGTCATTTTCTTTTGGATGACGTCATGTGGTGGGACTGTGACTGCGTTGCATGACGTGGAGTTGATTGATATCTCTGAACTCTATCTCTTTTATATTCTGCCCTCCTTTTTATATATATATTTATATATACTGTATATTGTACATTGGCAGTTTGTGGAGTGCAGTAATCGATGCCGTTCTTGGCTGGTACCTGTACTGACGTGTTGACTGGTTTGGTTGATTATAACTGGAAGTGGCCTTTAACCCTTTGTGCTATTGTACCGTGTGCCCTTGTGATGTTTTACTTTCTCTTGTGGGGTTCATGTGTATGAATGTACTGTATTTTTCTATTTCTCTATTTCTTCACATTCACATCAACAGTGTTTTTTCCTTCTAGCAAACTATGATTTTTTTTTTTTTTTCCACGTACTTCTTCTTTTTTTTTTTTTATTAAAGTCCGCGTCTTTGCAAAAAGGACCTTTTTCTCCCTCCGATCGACAGCTGTTTAGCTGAGAGATGGCCAAGATGACCCTATGTTTGTGTAGCCAATTAAATCTCCAACGTTCACACAGAGAGCACAGGCAAATGTTGACACTCCACTTCTCCGTGGATTCCATCTGCACAGGGAGTACTTCTGCAAGATTGTTTTGTTTGCCTAACATGAGAATCACTTCCCATTTATTTATTTATGAGGGTGCAAACCAATTACATCGTGATAGAAGAGCTGCAGGCAGCGCTACAGACCCACATGGCCAAAATCCGTCCACCGCGCCGACATGCCATGCACATATAGATGTTTAAGCAGGGAGTGAAAAATAGAACGAAACACAAAAGCCTGGGATGAGTATTGGCTGCCTGTTGTCTTTTTGTATTTTTAGTAGGATTACGCCACCACATAAATAAGATCTTATGTTTTTGCTGCTTGCATGTGAGATAATTGTTGTAAAATGAAAAGGCAGCTTCACAGCCAAAAAAGGTCCTTTCTTTGCAAGGGAGTTTGTTGCTAACCCTCCAGGCCAAACCTGATTAGAGTTAGTCGTTTTCATCTAACTCGCACTGCCCTATTCTTTCAGAAGCCCTGCGGGCGACTCTCCCTCCCATAGTCTATCCAATGAACTCAGGGGGGGTGCGTCTAGCCGGGCAAGCCAGGAGGGAAAAAGGTTTTTCTGGCTTCAACTATGCCCTTAAACTGCCAGGTGTCTTTTATGGAGCCATCTAAGTAGGTGGCGGTGTGGGGTGGAGAAAAAAAAAAAAAAAACACTGGAAAATAAATTCTATTATATGACAAAGTTGAAATAGTTGTGAGGTTTTCAAAAAAAAAAAAAAAAAAGCTGTTTACTTGGGGGCGAAAAAAAAATAGAATTTTAAAGCCACTGTGTGTTTCTTTCTCTGTGCTATAAGGAGAATTGCTAGTGGCTTATAAAAGAGGGCATCTGTAATCGGGACTGTTAGTGCTTTATGCGGCTAATGGCAGAGCTCGCTTTGGCACACATAAGAAATAAGTTTGAATCTCCGCTCCCCCCACCCCCCCATCTAAAAAGCAGATCTATTATGAAATGGTAACAAGCTCATTTACAGGAATGGAAAGGTAGAACAAAGAGCGTCTGGGCGCGTGTTCCCGTCACAAAGTCAGACCCTTTCATGTTCACTCCCAGAGAGTGATTTGCTGTGATTTCATAGCCTTTCTTCACCCACATCACAGCTCACAACATATTAGAGATGATAGGCTGTAAACTCGATCTTTTATATTCCGAGCCTGACAGCACGGACACATTTATTAACAGTGCAACATATCAAGTGAACACAAAAGGCAAAGGGGGGAGATGCTAGGTTGGGGTTTTCATGGTATCCTAATTAGAGGCTATTCCTTGAAATATATATTTTTTTCCCTTCACGTTGGACAACCATCAGCTTTTCTTTCATTCTGATTATTACACTGATTTAACACTCGCACACGCTCGTCTTGTTTTCTTCATGTTTCGTTTCTTGTTCCTTTTGTAGTTTGTTTGTAATGAATTAACAAAAAAAAAAGATGAATGACAGCAACATCTCAGACGAGATTTTTTTTTTTCTCACACAGAGCGATGTAGTCAGTTTAAATTAGGCCTTCGTTGGATTAGTGCTGTCACAGTGTAGATGTCTGTTCCATATGGTTAAAACACAAATCTTCCACCCCACCTCTAGCCCACTTATTTCTGGTTGTGATTGACACACTCCTCTTTTTTTTTTCTCTCTCCTCTTCCCCGTCTGTTTCTCATGCTGTTGGCTGTGCCTGTCAGTCTGTGTGATAACCAGGAGCCAGCAACCCTGAGCATGTTTGCCGCAGCCTCACTGAATCCACTCTCCTTATTCTCCCCCGTCTCTTTCTCTCTCCCCCTCTCTCCCTCTCCCTCTCTCTCTGTGTCACAGGATGAAGGGCCACAACACCTTATTTCCACAAGTGCAGTAAAAGTACAAAGACTTCTTGCTCTGCTACATATCATGAAGGAAGGGTGGTCCCTTGATCCTGCTGGAAAGCCGCTGAAAGATTGGGTGACTGAGAGAAGGATCCCAGAGTTGTTGTTTTTTTTTTTTGTTTTTTTTAAATTTATTTATTTTATTTTTATTCTTTTTTTTTTTTTTTCCTTTCTTCGCAAATGCCTCTTTTTTCCCTGTTTTGCTTTGGCGTCTGTGGAAGAAGATTTTTTGCAGAGACCAACTTTTTGCTGCTGTTTTTTAGACATGATGGGGAAAAAAAAACAAAAAAACAAAAAAAACACAAAAAAACCTTTATAGACTCATTATGCTCAAAGCATGCATACTGACACAGGATATAGATAAACACATAACACAGAAAAACAAACCAAACATACACATTTAAAGAAGCTACACTTAAAAAAAAAACAAAAAAAAGGAAAAAAAAAAACTTACTTTGTACATGTATAAATACGTGCAAATGCCAACACAAGTACTGAAGCAAACTCATGCGTGTGTGCACGCGCACACACACACACACACACACAACTACACACAAACACACACACCAGCCTGCTGCCATTTTGGTTTTTGTGCCTACACAGGTGTTGTGCTCTGTGACAGGGCAAGCTCTGGATCGAAGAAGAAAACAAGACGGAAGAGGAGACAAGTGGAGAATCCAGGATAATTTACATGCATCATTCCTTAGGAAATAGGGACCAAAGGACTAAACGCTTTTTAAAAGAATATAAATATATAAATATATAAATATATCTGATCCCAGAGGAGACTTGTAGCTTGGTTACACAAAGTTAGGCAGTAGTCAAAAAAATCATTAAATCAATATCCAGTGGCCTACTGTAAGTACGAATAAAAGAAAATGGAAATAATGTATAAAAAAAAAAAAAAAAAAGNTAAATATATATTTAAAAACTCATACCTTGTAGCTGCAAGTATTACAATTTACTCGTAGTCAAAAAAATCATTAAATCAATATCCAGTGGCCTACTGTAAGTACGAATAAAAGAAAATGGAAATAATGTATAAAAAAAAAAAAAAAAAAGACGACATGGAATCGTAGTATAGGGGCTGATCTTTTGCTCTGGATGCTGATTTAGCACCAGGTTGTAGAATAGTTAAGTAGTCTAGAAAAAAAAAAGAAAAAAAAGTAGATTTGCTAACTTTTGCTGTTGTTTAAAAAAAAAAAAATACTTGAAGTCGTAATGAAAAGGGGGCAAAAAGAGGGGGGAAAAGGGGGAACATTCATCTGCCCCCGTACGCAACAAGTCTCTTTCTCTTGGATGTTAAAGGTATCAGCCACTGGATATCTCGCTCATCATGATGTATAAGTCACCGCACTCTCTGACAGCTACAAACAGACTGTTCTGGAAGAAGAAGAAGAGGAAAAAAAAAAGAGGATGGCAAGAAGAGAGCGAGAGAGAGAGAGGAAAAAAAATAAAAGACTGAACTAACTGATGTCTGTGCTGGACAGGGTGCAGATGTTTAAGGCTTCTCGCTAGCCTTTTGTTGTTCAAGCGACAATCCACTGTAAAGACCAAGTAAAAATGGACATGGGGGTGTTTTCTGTTTGTTTTTCTGTTTGTTTCGTTTTTTTTCCTTGACCTTTTTGTATTGCAACATGAAGTCTGAATTGTGAAGCCACAAATTGTTGGAAAGAAATGGTTGAAAGACAAATTGATGATGATGATGATGATGATGAAGGGAACGCCATAAAGGGTGGGAGGGCGGGAGGAAGAGTTAGGTGACAGCTACTGAAACTGCCAGCAGAATGAACTCGGTTTAGTAAACCAACTGGCCCCTTTCTGGTGTTGGAATTCCCTCAACGAAGCTAACTGAGGATGCATGTGTCCACTGGAGCTGCTGCGAAACTTCAGACTAGAGAAAAAAAAAAAGAAATCATCTTGTCTCTTGGCAGATAAAAACAAACATTTCTCTGAAGACAAATTCAATTTACTGCATTGATGGCAAAGGAGTGCAGGCTTTTAGAGCTCATTTCGCTCTGTCAAATATAATGTAAATTCCACTGTTAACATTTTCCCCTGACCTGCTTTCTTCATCTATTATACAAAGGGCCTATGGAAGGAAAAAAAAAAAAAAGAAGCCACTGCTTAAACAGGTTATATCTAAATTAATTCCAACAGCCACTCTTAACCATCATTCATCATCCGCCTGTAGCTTCACTGACACTGATGCCAAGCAAGGCAGAGTAAAGCGCTCCAGCACTGTCATGTCTTGATTTAGAGTTCTGTAGCCTTTATTTCGACTGTTATGGAGCTCTGGAAGCAGCCTCTTCTCTAAAACCAGATCAATATGTTTGGAGTGAGTCTAGAGGGAGGAGCGAGGCTGTTTCAGTCGCTACGAGCACTTCCCCAATTTTCTCTGCCGAACACCAGCTCACATCCGTACACCAGCCCTTCTGAGCACAGACAGCTGGCAGTAAGAGGCAGGACCAGGCAAGGAGGAGGGAGAGAGAGAGAGGGGGAAGAAGAAGAGGAAGTCAACAACTCAGCATCCTTTAAAACGTCTACGTTGATGATTTAACCGATAAAATTAGAAGCTGTAATCAAGCTCCCGGTGATAAATCTGCGCTATATGCTTTCAAAGATCAGGGTTAGGGTGTTAATTGGGACTGCAGTTTGAGCACGTTGGAAACCGGTCCGTTCATTTCATGTTTACTACTGAGACTCTTCTTCTTTTTCCTTCTCGCTATCACCTCCCTCTTTCTTACCTAAAGCAAACCAGAACTGTTCCAAATCACTGAAGGAAGAACTGATAAAAATGTGCCAGCAGATTCAAGAGTTTTTTTAATGTACTGCCTTTGTCATTCAGATAAGATCTTGATTTCCATCCTTGATACGAGCATGTCGTCTACCACCTATCTTCCCCCTTCCTCTGTCCTAAGAGCGGCCAAGCCTTTCCAAAAAAAACCGCAGCACAACCGTTCAGCAGCTCTCCCCTCGGAACAGCGTTTTCGAACCTGGCTAATGTCTGTGCTCACTACCCTTCAATTATCTCCTGCACCATATTAGACATGCTATTTCACCTTTCCCTCTAATCACACTGTAATCATCAGCCTCTATACATTAGCAGCAACCAAGTGAAAAATCACTGGGATAATCACTTGGACCAAATGACGGGAGAGATGGTCCCCTGCATGCACATGGATGACAGAAGGAAGATTAGAGAGAATTATGTTTGTGCCTACTCCCTGGCAAGGCTGCTGACAGCTGACCTGGCACCAATAATGCAGCCGAATTTACCCGAAGAAGAGGCGACGGAGGATGTGGAATAAAACCGTCGTAGCGAGTTGTTAACACTGCAGAGTCCGATTGACTAAAAAAAGGAAGAAGAGGCAAAAATGTGTTTTGTTTCTCTCTGTACCGCAAAACGTTGCAGCAACAGTTGCTTAACGCCGGGTCGGAACCGCCGATTTTAGCTGGAAACGCTCTATTCAGTGGAAGCAGCTGCTGCGAGTTTACTGTTATTGTTTGTCTTTTTACAGCAGCAAAATTGTATCTCAGCAGTCAACTACGGAGGTCACCATTTTTTTTTTTAACAAAACAACTTGCTCACCCTTTTTCTTTCTCTCGCTTGCATCCCTGCTGCGACACCTGCAAAGCACAGCGTTGTTCGACTCTAAAGAAAACAGGTGAAGCACAGCAGTTCTTCAGATTCAAAATGATGCCCATCAAATGACAACTTTAAAAAAAAAAAACTGCCTTGAAATACATTCAAAGTAAAAAACCCAGCTCTCCTTCGTCTGCCCTTGATTTGACATATGGCGGAAACGCAGCAAGCTTCATGAATTAATTTGTGAAGTAGGTCAAAACAAAGCCATGTTCTACAAACCGTTTGTGCTCATTATTTATGTGAAGCTGAACTAATCAATGGGAAATCTAATGTTCCGTGAGCAATGAAATTTCCTGTGCTTGTCTTGGCCATGTCTAGAATACATTCTGCAACATGAACCTTGCATGTCTGCTCCTCTGATCTTCTCTGTCTTATACCAGATGCTGTACTAGTTCCCACTACTGATGGCAGGTTGAGTCCCCAGTGAGCCAAAACCCAGTCTAGCCTAGTATCGTGCTGTCTGCTTGGCTAACAGTGCAGTGTTCATGTAGCGTCTCTGCTATGCCAGAGCCAAATTAGGCAACGTGAAATCAGCACTTCAACCATTTTAACAAGGGTGCTCCTATTACTTTTACACCCAGGGGCGAATGTTGCTGAAATGACGTGCGTTAAAAGCATAAATAGCTGTGAAACATGTGCTGGAACTACAGAAATAAGAAAAAAAAAGTTTGTTTTTAAGATATTCTCATTACCCATTTATTTACAGGAGTCTCTGCCTGCTTTGCCCTTAGCCTCAGTCTGGTCTGGTTTCTAGCCCAGGCTACGTTTCACCTCTAAGAGCACCGACAAATGTCAACCCAGCAGGCACTCACCAAGCTGTTGCCAAACTGTGATTTGATATTTGCCCTCGACTTTACAAAGAGAAAATGTAACTTGGCATTTTTTTTTTTTTGCCTAAAGGAATTAATCTAATTAATCGTGAGAATATAATATTTACCATTATGAGGACATGTCACATAGCTCCAAAAGCTTCTCTCCTGTGTGTTCATACTGCACCGCCTTTATTTAGCCTCTCACAGCGAGCGGTGGACTTAAAGGTAGACTTAAGTATGATCCGTTACTTTCCATTGAGCATTTACAACGTTTGCTGCTCAACCAGTGATGCGTGTACCCGCTCTGAAATTGGGAATATATACACAGTATACCCATTTCCTCAGTCGCCAATACACCACCGCTCACGACGTCTGTCCTCCAGAGGAGCATGTATCCTTAGAGGGTCCCAGCCAATAGCAGGAGAGAGCAGAGGACTGCTAGAGCATGAATCTCCAACCCCCTGGGTGCATAACACTCACCCTAAAATAGCAGTGATTGTCAAGGAAAGGAAGTGAAATGTAATTGACTGAAAGTGGA